CTTGAATTGCCCCATCGATGGGGCAATTCAAGAATCGAGTTATTTGACCGGTGTCTGTTATTTCGAGAGAATCTCAGTGAGTTTTGGTCGGATAACTTGGAGTTTGATACGAGTGTGTTTTTGAGAGTAAGAGGAATTCAATGATATAAAAATCTTCTTAACAATATCTAATTATTCTGAGATAATTAGCTTTTATAAAACACAAAAAACATCGTTCACTTTTAACGAGACTACTGAAATGCCCCAACGAGAACTATGTATTTTCTTGAATAGCCTCCGGTGGGGCAATTCAAGAAAGTCCGTGGAGCAATCCAGTAATCCGCTTTTAAGATCTTTATCCTGAGAGTGTTGAAGACGATTTTTCACAGACAGGTAGCTAAGAGTCCTTATTATATTGTAGCAAAAGTGCGCACGAAAATCCCCAAAAATAACAAAGATTTTCAAAAACACTTACAAAGATACCAAAAATTACTGAATTACCCCACATTACTCTATAGATATTCATCCTTTCTAGATAAGATGAAGAGAAAGATATACCATTCTACTATACGTTTCAAAACAGAATGCCCTGACTATTTTTCGAATATCTTTTGATAGAAAGTAGGTAAAACTTCGGAGAGCTCACTTGTTTCTGTTCTCCCGTTCCCGATAGGGAGCGATTCTCTGAGGACGGCACTAACTCACCCTTTTTTCACTTATAATATCGAACGAACACTTACCAAATAGGTTTTCTAGTATGCTGATACACGTGGAAATGTTTGTTTTTACTTTGGAACAAACTTATATTTATGACTGGCTGCAAAAAATGTAACATTAATATATTTAAGTGTATATATTTGTATATATAATATTTCGTCATGTTCAGTTGTATATTAATAAATTAAACTTTCTTTAGTTCTTTTGGCTCTTTTCGAATCGAGACCACTTTTTTGTGCTCACTCTCACTCTCTGCTTGCCGCCCTCGATGTTTGTTAGATGTCAAGTAAGACTTGAAGACAGAAAAGACATTTGATCAAAAAAGTGGTCTAAATTCCAAAGCCTCGATTCTTTTTCTTGTCTGTCTACTCATTAATTGGTAATGATTGCTAATTAATTGCTATATATTCTTCTTATATATATTTTCTTTAATTTAAATTTTCTTTAACTGATTTAGTGATCAAAAGTGTTCGTTTTTGGTGATCATTTCGATAGAAAGAAATTTGGTGATCAAAACAATCTTTTTTGCGAGGCTTCTTAATTGAAATCACTTTTTATAATTAAAAAAATAAAAATGATCTCAGTTTAGAACAGAGCTGATCACCTAAGTTTTCATTCACCTGCCTGCAAGCTGCATGTAGGTGAATGAAAACTTTTTCTACTGACGGTCTGCAGATAAAGAAGAATATTTTCCTGCCTGCAATCCCTGTAGGGGAGAAGATTTTAGCTGCATTCACTGCAGGGAAAGACGTTTTAGTGTGGAGAGCAAAAGGAGGGAGGAGACAAAGAGAAATATTGATCATACTGAAGATTGAAATGATCTCTTAACGAAAAGAAACTAACTGACAGTTTTTTTTGAATGTCTATTAGACAATTTAAGATGAAGGAGAGAAACATTTTATTTGTAATCGCTTATATATTTACTATGTCATTTTCCTCTAATATAATGGCCTACACCCCATCTATGTAGAATCACAATTCTTATTTCTCTTTCTTAAATGAATAAAACCCTCTGATGTTGTTTGATTTTGCAAAGTCGATTAGGACAGCTTTGTATCTCTTTTAAGAAGTTTCGGATAAAGTTTAAACTAAACTAAACGAAAAATATAGAATAAAGAAAACCAACGAATTTCACTCTTATTGTATGTAATATGTTTCTTTTACTATGCTCACTACGCACAGTATATAGGAAATGACAGAAGACTAACGATAACAGAAAGAGAAAAATAAAGAACGAGGGATAGCGAATCGTAACTGGTGATACAGTCCATATTATCAGTGTATAGTACAGACTGATAGTGGTCAGTAGGAAAAAAAATTGTTATACCTCGCTTATGGTCAACCTGCACGGCAGGGTGGTGCAGAAATTTTCACCCTCAGTCTCTGTCCGTACAGAATAAAAGATTTTTTGCTAACCGGCAAACTGCAACGCGGGTAAATTTTATTTTGCCCCTGCGCGGTATCGCGCAGGGGTGAAAAATTATGCAGGTGATCAGCTCTGCTTCATACTGAATTCGTCCTATGTATGAATACCGTAGCTATTTTGATAAAATAGTTTTGGTGACATTCTAAATGGACCATCTGCATTCCAGTGTGGATTAGTACTAAGAATTTGTAATGATGTTGGTGATGAAAAATCAGAGCCGTGTAACACCTGTCCTGGCTGCGAGCGCGAACCGAAGGGACGCGTGTGCATTGTCTGGAATTCCGAAATATTGTTAGACCTCTGGGGTTCTTTGGGGGTCAGATAAAACCAAATCAAATTACAGAGACTCGATGAATTACACAAATTGAGTAAATAACGCTATGACGCCTTCTAACTTTTGAGAATCACATAACTCGTGAACTGATGCTGACTTGATAGACTTGACTTCTATTCCATACTTGGCTTCGAAACACGTACTCACTCTGGTAAACTTTTCTAACCGGTGAAAAGCTAAAGCAATTGCTTCTGTAAACTAAGGTACAAAATATGGACGTTCTCATCGCAAAAAATATGCATTAATTCTGTAGTAACAAGATCGAGTTACAACAGAATGAATAAGAATACCGACAGTGCATTCATTCGACCTACAGGCAATGGACTTAGTGAATCGATTCGATTCACGTTATTTATTATATACTGTTTAGGAATCTATGTTTTATTAAAATAAGAGCTACTAGCTTGTTTTCCAGACTGAGATCACTTTTAAAATTGATAGAATATGCTATTTCTAAACTGAGATCGTTTTTATTTTTTTAATTATAAAAAGTAATTTCAATTAAGAATTTTTTAGTGCTCAAAAAAATACATACCCATTTTAATCTGCCTTATGTAGATATGAAAATGACGTAGCAGCATCGAATTTTTATTGTGTTTTATTCTTTTTTGATAGCCGCTTACTTCAAAACCGAAAAAAAGTGTTATGTGGAACAGCCTTTAAGTCGAAGAGGAGACCGAATGATTACCTCCTTGATCATAATATACACAGAATAATTTTAATTACGTATAATTTACCACAAAATTAAGTGTTCTTGACAGTTAAATGCCTGAAGAGAAACGTAAATTCACTCATGCATAGAACGTGTATCAAGTACATTGCAGAAAAAGAAATCGAGACGCAATCTGAAAATTGAATAAACTAATCATGTAAGAAAAATAATTTTTTTTCTTGTGTTACACAGCATATAGGTTTGTCGCAATTGTTAGTCAGAATAATATAATAATATATAAAAGCGATCATGAATCAGTCAAACTTTACTTTGATTGATCATTCACATGTGCTACCAACATATGTTGGCTATATTGGCGTTTTGGTAGCAGTTGGATTCTTCGGAAGTTTTTTGGTACCTGCACAAAAACTTCGAATTCATGATAGTTTCTCTTATCAGTTTTTCATGAGTGTTGGTATATGGACTACTGGTTTGCTTATCAATTTAATCTTACAAAGTACAGTATTTTTTCCATTAGTTTTGATTGGTGGATTTCTATGGGCTAGCGGGAATATCTTAAGTTTACATGTAATCCAAATCAACGGTGTTGGTTTGTCAATGTTATTATGGTCAACGACAAATGTACTGTTAGGTAAGAAATTTCATCGATATGTGTTTTTTTTTAAAGGTCTTTATTTTTTATTTAGGTTGGGCATCAGGCCGTTGGGGTTGGTTTGGACTAATGCCAGATAAAATTTTCTCACCCTATCTCAACTATGTGGGTGTTGCAATAACATGTGTAAGTGGACTGATATTTTTTAATATAAAAACGGATAAACAAAAAATTGAAAGTGATACAAAGTTAAACGGTAATGTCGACGTGATGTCATTAACTCCACTCAATGAAGGGGTCGAAGTTAATCCTACAATACAATCATCATCGAAAAAGCTTTATACTAGAAAGTTCCGTCTTCTGGCAAGTCTATTAGCAATCATTGCTGGTTCATTTTTCGGTTTAACTTTTACGCCTAGTACATATATTCAGCATCATCCAGAAAAATATCCTTATTCATCTAACAATGGACTTGATTATTGTTTCTCTATGTATTCAGGAGTTCTTTTAACATCATTCGTCTATTATTCATTCAATATAATCATCAAACATAATCAACCATTTATGATAGAGTCTAAAACAATTTTTCCAGCATTCTCTTCAGGTATAATGTGGGGTTTAGGACAAGCTGGATTTCTTGTAGCTAATTCTGTTTTAAATCAAGCGATAGCCTTTCCTCTTGTGATTGCCGGACCTTCATGTGTCGCAGTAATTTGGGCATTATTTTATTTCAAAGATATGTCTGGAATTAGAAATTATGTATACATTTCAGTTGGTATTATACTCAGAATTGGTGCAGCTATTTTAATCGTTTTCTCAAAACAAAAAATACTATGATAAACATTTTTATCGTTGCTAACGAAATAATTACTTTGAAAAAGAACAGAAAATAGCATTAAATAGGACGGTTGTGTACTGTTTACACACATAATAGAAACTGAAATTCAAACAGAGAATGTGAAATTGAACACAACAAATACTAATCCAGTTTCGAAGATAAAGATCGATAAAATAGATTTTTAATGATATAGTTTTTTTGCAGAAGAACAAACACATTTATTTACATAGATCAAATATCATCAGCAATTCGGCATACGTTCTAGGTAAAGTGATCTCAACTAGGACAAGTAAGTTCAGTGTTTACATTTATTGAAGAATACCCATGCAGACATTCGACTAGTAAAAAGACTAGTCGGTTTAGTGCTTTCGATGCGCGTCGGAGGCTCAAATCGGCTAGTCGGAGTGCCATTTTCCGACGGGCCGACTAGTCGGTGACTAGTTTGGGTATCGACTAGTCGGAGACAGGCGAAATTCCTAAATCCGACTAGTCGATTTGAGCCTCCGACGGGTGTCAGAAACATTAAACCGACTAGTCAGTAGTGGGATTTTTGTTTCGTTGGTAAAATGACGTAAGCGTCAAAAGTCAGCGGTGTGTGCACTAGA